AAATGCCCTCTCCTGCCCATCAGGAAAATTACTTCACTCATCTAGTTTTAACATTGGTAATGTCTTCATATGCTCCAAATATCAACTGTAAAAGATATACAGTGAAATCTCCTCTTGCTCCTATTCTTCATCTGCTCAGTAAAAATCATCTCACTCCAAAACTACCCAAAACAGGTAATTTTTCTATCCTTTTTATGTGGTTGGTAGCACATCACAGTTACTTCTCTGCACTTTGCCTTTCTCACTTAGTAATATGACTTAGAAATCTTTTCTTAGTTACCAAACTTTTGATAAAAATTATTCTTCTTTAGGAACCATAAGAATAAATACTGGGAGACATTTATGAACTGCAGAGAACTTTCCAAGATGCTATAACAAAGGAAAATTCGGAAGTTTCTTGGGGCTGAGCTGGATGTGAATACAGTCAGGAGGGATCCAGTAACTGGTAGAAATACCAAAGAGAAAGAAAAAAATGAGAGCAAATCAACCAAGGCCATAGCATTAAAAAAAAAAAAAAAAAAAAAAAAAAAAACAACGGAAAAAGAAAACGGAAAAAGAAGAGTTCAGAGCTGGCTAAGTCAATGGCTAGGGAGGAAACCATATCCTGAGGGAAGGCACAGCCTGAGTTAACAGCAAGACAGTTGACCAAGGCAGGGGTGGCCTGCAAGGCAGGGCAAGGTTCTTAGATCCACAAAATATAGAAAAGGGGAAGGATACACTCAGATTGTACTTGTAGCAGGGATGTAATGCTGGGTCTATTCAGGGAGAGAAGGCTCAAAGCAAAGCACACACAGGTGTTGCAGACACACTGTGTTCAAATCCCATGTGAGTGAAACACCTTTAGGCAAATGACTTAATTGTCCTTAACCTAAGTTTTGTTATCTGTGAAACAGAGGTAGTAGTAACCATCTGCAGAGTTTCCCTGGTGACTAAATAAAGTAACGTATAAATAAGTGCTGCACACAGTGCCTGGCACATAGCCGCAGATTAGTAAATGTGCAGCTTAATATATTATTAAATCTAATAATTATACTTAATATAACAATGGATTTAATAATTAAACTAAACATATATTAAATAACGTAATTTAATATAATGATGTATAAATTTAATTAATTATAATTACTCAGAGAAAAGAAAATTTCCTAGAAGTCAGAGAGAGGGAAACCTCAGTCGTAGGTGAGAAGTTTCTGCCTCGGCTGGCATGGTGAGCTCGGGGCCTCGGGTGAGGAGGCCTTCTTCCCTGGAGACCAGGAACCACGAAGCACCAAGGGTAGTGGAGGTGAACACAACCTGAGGGCCCAGAAGGAAGGAACTCACTTGATTCATAAGAAGTAGGTCACTAGCTGGAAATAACTTGTTCCTCCTTGGATTGGAGAGGTGGAGGGTGACTTTCAAAATGGTATGCCTGGAAGAGGCATGATTTTGCTTACATTAGATACCATAAAGCTGTTTGGAAAACCTAATCGCTCATAGCTGCAAATGCGGATGTAATAGGGAAAAAATTTTTTTTGACTCACCCATCACTTCTAAAGGCACATGTCTGCCATAGGCTCTGCTAGTCATGGGTATGTGGGTTTGGAGGAAGAGTTTGGGAAAGCGCTGAGTTGTTCTATATAAAGGAAGAAGCCTGTGAGGTTGAAGCACAATGGGGAAAAACAACTGCAGGAAACAAATATGTCTGATCCCGAGTTTTACATGGCTCATCCTCCCCTAACATACCTACAAAATCTTCAGCAAAATCCACATTGCGCACGAATGCTTGTGGTGTGAATGAATTGTTTCTGGGGAACGTAAAGGGTGTTGAGCTTTGTGCTAATATTGGTGAAAGGTAGAAACAGAGACTGCATCTGGGGAAAGCTGCCCTTAAATTTTCTGACATTTTATTCAAGCAGCAAATGAAATGAGCACCTATCACAAGATGGATGCTGTGCTATGAACCAAGAATGTAATACTAACAGAAACATAGTTAATGTTATCCAGAAACTCCCAGTCTAGTGAGGAAGGAGGATGAGAAACTGATAAGTGATGTGACAGGTGCATGCAGGGTGTGCTAGGGAGCACATGAGGTACTAGGAAAGACACTAGGACAAAGGGGAAACTCAGTGCTAATGAGCACATCATATACAAGTAAACCATTTCATTGGAAAACATGAGTATTTTCTTGCGAGTTGACAATCCAAGATGAAGCAACTGAAACATAACCATGCCGAAGAGTTGCATTTGAATATTGTTCTTTCAGCTTCCTAATTTCCCTATCTTTTTAACCCACCTCTTCTCATGGTATCTGTATTTTGTTTCCAGAGAAGGCTGTCCCTAGAGAGAAACTCTGAAAAATACTATATAGAACTGGTGAATTTTCAAAAGGGGACTACTGAACATATTTTAGTTTCATACTGCAACTATAATATACAATACAGAAATAACTTGGAGATATTTTGTTCATTTTCAGAACACCACAATAAAGCTAATATTGCAGTAAAGTGAGTTATGTGCATTTTTTTCATTTCCCAGTGAGTCTAAAAAGTATATTTACATTATACTATAGTCTATTAAGCATGCAGTAGCATTTTGTGTAAAAAAAGTGCATACTTTAATTTAAAAAATACTATACTGTTAAAAAATGCTAATGATCATCTGAGCCTTCAGCAAGTTGTAATCTTTTTGCTGGTGGAGGATCTTGCCTTGATGTTGATGGCTGCTGACTAATCAGGGGTGGTGGCAATTCCTTAAAATAAGACAACAATGAAGTTTGTTGCATTGATTGAGTCTTCCTTTCACAAAGATTTCTCTATAGCATGTACTGTTTGATAGCATTTTCCCCTACAGAACTTCTTTCAAAATTGGAGTCACTCCTCTAAAACCCTGTCATTGCTTTATCAACTAAGTTTACAGAATATTCTAAATCCTTTGTGGTAATTTCAACAAGGTTCACAGCATCTTCACCAGGAATAGTTTTCATCCCAAGAAATCACTTTCTTGGCTCATCTATAAGAAGCAACAACTCATTTGTTCAAGTTTTATTATGGGATTGTATCACTTCAGGATCCACTTCTAATTATAGTTCTCTTGCAATTTCCATGACATTTGCAGTGACTTCTTCCACTGAAATGTTGAATCCCCCAAAAATCATTCATGAGAATTGTAATCAACTTCTTCTAAACTCCTGCCAATGTTGATATTTTGACCTTCTCCCATGAATCATGAATGTTAATAGCATCTAGAATGGTGGATCCTTTCCAGAAGGTTTTCAATTGGCTTTGCCCAGATCCATCAGAGGAATCGTTATCTAGGGCAGTAATATGCCTATCTTAACTAATAAGACTTTAAAGTCAAAATTACTGCTCAATCCATGGGCAGCAGAATGAATATTGTGTTAGCAGGCATGAAAACACCATTCATCTCCTTGTACATCTCCATCAGAGCTCTTGAATGACCAGTTACAATGTCAATGAGCAGTAATATTTTGAAGGGAATCATTTTTTTCTGAGCAGTAGGTCTCAAGAGTAGGCTTAAAATATTCAGTAAACCATACTATAAATAGATGTGCTATCACTCAGGCTTTGTTGTTCCATGTTTAGGGCATAGGTAGAGTAGATTTAGCATAATTCTTAAGATTTCTAGAATTTTCATAATGATAAAGAAGCATTGGCTTTAACTTAAAGTCACCAGATACATTGCCCCCTAACAAGAGTGTCAGCCTGTCCTTTGAAGCTTGGAACCCAGGCATTGACTTCTCTCTAGTGATAATTCTAGATGGCATCTTATTCCAATATAAGGCTGTTTTGTCTACATGGAAAAATCTGTTGTTTACTGTGGCCACCATCTTCAGTGATGCTAGCTAGATCTTCTGGATAACTTTCTATAGTTTATCCAAAGCTTTTGCTGCTTCACCTTGTGCTTTTATGTTATAGTTATATATTTTTTCTTTCTTTAAACCTCCTGAACTAACCACTGCTAGCTTCCAACTTTCTTCTGCAGCTCTCTCCACCTTCACAGAATTAAAGAGAATTAGGACCTTGCTCTTGATTAGGATTTGATTTAAGTGAATACTGTTGCTGGCATGATCTTCTATCCAGACTACTAAAACGTTTTCCACATCAGCAATAAGGCTGTTTCACTTTCTTATCATTTATGTGTTCACTGGAGTAACACTTTTAATTTCCTTCAAGAACTTTTCCTTTGCATTCACAACTTGGCTGTTTGGTACAAGAGACCTAGCTTTCAGCCTGTCTCAGCTTTCAACGTGTTTTTCTCATTAAGTTAAATCATTCCTAGCTTTTGATTTAAAGTGAGAATACTTGAATACTAAGAGGCCATTGTAGGGGTTATTAGTCAGCCTGATTTCAATATTGTTGTGTCTCAGGGAATAGGGATGCTTGAGGGTTGGGAGAAAGTTGGGGAAAGGCTGGTCAATGGAGCAGTCAGAATGCCATTTTATATGGACCATGGTTCATGGTGCCCCAGAACAACTGCAACAGTAACATAGAAGATCACTGATCATGGATCACCATAACAGACATAATAATGAAAAAGTCTGACGTATTAACAGAATTACCAAAATGGATGCAGAGCCTGGAAGCAAGGAGATGCTACTAGAAAAATGGCACCAGTAGACTTCCTGGAGCCTATAAACTCTATGAAGTTTGCCACAACCTTCAATTTGTAAAAAAAAACACGATATCTGTGATGTGCAATAAAGTGAAGCACAATAAAAGGAGGTGTGCCTGATGCACACATTATACACATACTACTGTTATACCTTCTGTTGAGACACTGCCAGTGTTGTGTGATTTAGAGGTCTTTGGGAAGGCTTCCCTGCCAATACCTCCCTTATTTTTAGGATACCAGAAATTCCATCCTTAAGGAGTTTAATTTCTTCAGATTAAGAGATGACTCAATATTAAAATGCTGCATTGCAGGTCCTTTTTATGTGTTCCTACAGCATGCTGTATACCTCTGAATTTTAATGAATTTTAATTGCTTTCTCTTTTCCCAAGACTCAGCTCATCCCAGAAGGAAGGATGCCCAATAGCTCTGTTCCTCAGCGCATTCCTCAAGGCCAGGCACAGAGAAGGCTCTCAGTACGTGTTTGTTAATTGAATGAATGCTCCTAGGAGACAGAACATAAAGACTAGAATTGTATTTTTACTCAAACTATCGAGAAGTTGAATTAAGGAAATATATGTGAAGGGATTTTGTAAACTATGAACCACTTTACAAATGTATATTACTATCATTGGAATGCAAATTATTTTCTTAAATAATTTCCAAGGGATAGGTTTTGATGGGTAGAGATATCATATTCTAAGTCTTCTCTACCTGCTAATGATTTTTTAAAATCTCTAACCTGTTCTCCAGCAGCTTGCATGCTAGAAAGTTCAACTTCTTATAGGACAAAGGACTACTGGGAAAAGAAATTAATGAGGAAATATTTCACTTCTGTAAAAACAGGCATGAGTGAATGGGTTAGGATTATATGGGAACAAGGTATAGAAAAATACATAAAGCATGTCTGGAAAGCCTCAAATAGTACTTTTCATCTATTCCAGAGTCTTTGGTCAATGACACTTCTTTATATAAGATGGAGTTCTTTGGCAAAGGGCTTTTGTCCTTGTGAAAAACATGACTTCTCTCTCTAGGATGCAAAGAAAATGTTTTAAAACTGGAATTTTTGTCATTAGTTTCCCAGGAAACCATTTTGGTTCTGATGCTAATTCGTGTTTCTGACTGTTTTGATTGAAAATTAGGCCTCTTGCTCTAGGGGAGCAGAAGCAGAAGGAAAGGCTGCTTTGGGTTCCTGCCCATCAAGAGGGTGCCAGGCTGAGAGTGCCAAGTTGTCTCTCAGTTCCACCCTAAGCTTGGTGCCAGTTGGCACTAGGCTTCTCAATTGAGGTCACCAGAGTGTGGGGCCGGGAGTTGGAGAATCACTTTCTTTTTTTAGTTCTGACTCCAAGAGAGCAGAGTTTGAGCCCAGCAAACACTCACTGCTGTCTGAGTTAGATGGAGCCAGCAGACAGGCCTGAGCAAGACAAATAGTTCACATCTTGAAATGGTTCTAAGTTTCCTGCTTAAGAAATGTTCTTTATCTCCTCCCTTAGATGGAATGATGTCCCTAGAGGGCGTGGATACACCTCTACCAAGGCATCTACAAATGAACTGTATTTACATTTCTGTGGCTTTTTCTTTAGGTAAGTAGAACCTCAGTGATGATGGCTTTGAAGGGTGCGGCTGTGCACACCAAAGAATGTCGCAGTCTCATTTAAGGCCTTTAATGTTCCCTAAAGAAGTAGTTTGTTTGTGCATTTCAGCTTCAACTGCCTGGTTGAGAAGTAAGTTTGTTTGCTGCTGACAGTCCTGCTGACTTTGTGTAGGCCGTGCATGGCTCACACGCAGGATTCTCTCAGTCAGACCTGCTCTTGCATCTACATGCAGCACACAAAGGAGACCACAGTTAACAAAGTCTTGGTGAAAACCATTCAAGTGCCATGTAACCACCAAATATGAACCCTGGAATACTGCTTACTTTGTAGGCAAAAGCTCTCACATATACCTCAATAGCATCCTCTCTGGTATAGAATCATGCTGTCTAGTGATTTCAATATGGTACTCAGAAGCCACATGTGGCTATTGAGCATGTGAAATGTGGCCAGTCTGGTTTGAAATGTGTTCAGTATGAAAGCATGCTAGAATTCTGAAGACTTAGTAGGAAAACAAATAATGTAAAATATATCAGTACTTTTTTGTATGAGTTGCATGTTGAAATGATAGTATTTTGGACAGATTGGGTTAAATAAAAACATACAATTAGAATTGTTTTCACTTGCTTATTTTTCTATTTTTAATGTGGCTATGAGAAAATTTAAAATTACATGCATGTTTCATATTATACTTCGTTTAGACAGTACTGACTCAGAGTGAGTATCACAACGCTCATTAATTCCCTCGGCCAATGTTTAATGAGTGACTAGCATGCTAGAATAAAGACACAGACTGTGCTCTCAAAGGGCTGCCATTCCAGGAGAGAGGCAGGTATCTACAGGGCAGTAGCCCAGGAGTGAGGGTAGGAAGGAATAACATGCGGAATAACAGGGTGAGTGCTGTGGAAGCCCCAAGGAAAGGAAGACTCTGGTGAAGAACATAATCATGGAAGGCTTCAAGGAGAAGCTGAGTTTTAAAACACACAGGAATTTTGGCAGTCAGAGGAAATGAAGGCAGCAATGTGTGAAGAGGTGCAGATATGGGGACATGCCTGGCATGTTTCAACAAACACAAGTAGTTCAGCTGGGTGCAGCTTTCAGTACAAACAGGAGAATGAATGGTGGAGATAAAGCCAAGAAGATAGGCTAAGATTTCACCCAGAGACTTTGAACCTGATGAGTTAGGCCTTGGATCAGCATTTTTGATAGGCATACCAGATGCAGACCCTACTTTGAAAAATGTTACTGCAGGTAAGAGGTGTTTAGTTTAGTTCAGCAGTTACATGCCTGCATTTATGAAAGATACTCTGAGAACATAAGGAAGATGTATGAGGAGTGGTCTCCTGAAGGTGTGTCAGCTATTTCAATTATCAAGGTGAAAAATGATAAAGGTCTGCCTTGGTCAGTCTGGGCTGCTATAACCAAAATACTATGGCCTGGGTGTCTTAAGCAACAGAAACATATGCTTCACAATTCTGAAGACTGGGACATCCAAGATCAAGAGGGTGGCTGACTCTGGTGAGGGCCCTCTACCTAAATTGCAGAGGGACACTTTCTTTATGTGTCCTCACATTGCAGGGAAACACACACACATGCACCCACGCACACACACACGGGGGCAATATCTAGAGACATTTTTATTATCATGGGGAATGCTACTGAAATTTATTAGGTAGAGGCTGAGATGCTGATGTGTGTCCTATAAAGCACAGGACAGCCTTCCTCCTCCAAGAAAGAACTGTCTGGTCCAAAATGTCAATAGCATTGTTGTGGTGAAACCCTGATTTGGTCAAAGGAAGCTGTCTTGCCCAATGTCACACTTCCTCCTAGGGCCAGTCCACATCTAGTGCAGTGGTACAAAAGCATGGCCCCCCTTGCCTTAATTTGGGATAACTCAGAAGGGCTGTCCCAGCACCAGCATTTTTTATGAGATTGGCTTGATACCTCTATTGCAACCACATTGCAGTTCAACTTCTCCCTCTGCCCGATCCTGCTTCCCTCACTTTCTTATAAATATTGTTTCAATAATTTCTCCAATAAACAGCCTGCAAACAACTCTCTGAGAGTCTATTTTCTGAAACCTGATCTAAAACAGTTGGCACCAGGAATTGTCCTAAGATGCTGATTGTTAAATAGAATTTTAAAAAATTATCTCAATAGCATTAGGGGTACACGTGGTTTTGATTACATGGATAAATTGTATAGTGGTGAAGTCTGGGATTTTAGTGCACCTATCATCCAAATACTGTACATTGTACACAATTGGGGTAGTTTTTCATCCCATCCCCCCTCACAACCTCCTTCTTTCTGAGTTTCCAATGTCCTTTATATGACTCCATACCTTTGCATACCCATAACTTAGCTCCCATTTATAAGTGAGAACATGTGGTATTTGGTTTCTGATTCCTGAGTTACTTCGCTCATAATAATGGCCTCCAATTTCATCCAAGTTGCTGGAAAAGACATTATTTCATTCTTTTTCATGGCTGAATAGTATTCCATAGTACACAGATGATAGAATAGATAGATAGATAACCACATTTTCTCTATTTATTGGTTGATGGGCACTTAGGTTGATGTCATATCTTCGCAATTGTAATTGTGCTATGATAAACATATGCACACAGGTGTTTTTGATATAGTGACTCACTTTCCTTTGGGTAGATACCTAGCAGCAGGATTGTTAAATCAAATGGTAGATCTACCTATACTTGTTTGAGAAATTTCTATAGTGTTTTCCATAGAAGTTGTACTAATTTACATTCTCACCAGTAATGTATTAGTGTTTCCCTTTCATTGCATCCATGCCAATATCAATTGTTTTGACTTTTTAATAATGGCCATTCTGGCTGGGGTAAGGTGGTATCTCATTGTGGTTTTAATTTACATTTCTCTAATGATTAGTGTCGTATGTTTGTTAGCCATTTGTATATCTTCTTTTGAAATGTCTATTCATGTCATTAGCCCACTTTTTGATGGGATTATTTTTTTTTCTTGCTGATTCGAGTTCTTTGTAGATTCTGGATATTAGTTCTTTGTCAGATGCATAATTTGCAAATATTTTTCCCATTCTGTAGGTTGTCTGTTTCGTTTGATGATTACTTCTTTTGCTGTGCAGAAGCTTTTTAGTTTAATTAGGTCTCATTTATTTATTTTCGTTTTTGTTGCATTTGCTTTTGGAGTCTTAGTTATAAATTTTTCACCTAGGCCAATGTCCAGAAGAGATTTTCCTAGGCTTTCTTCTATAATTTTTATGGTTTCAGGACTTATATTTAAGTCTTTAATACATCTTTAGTTAATTTTTGTATATGATGAGAGATAAGAATCTAGTTTCATTCTTCTAAGTGTGTGTGACTATCCAATTTTCCCAGCACCATTTATCGAATAGGGTGACCTTTCCCAAATATATGTTTTTGTATGCTGTCAAAGGTCAGTTCGTTGTAAGTATTTGTCTTCATTTATGGATTCTCTATGGTGTCCCATTGGCCTATGTATCTAGTTTTATACCAATACCATGTTTTGTTTGCTATAGCCTTGCAGTATAATTTGAAGTCAGGTAGTTGATACTCCAGAGTTTTTTTCTTTTTTTCTTTTCTTTTCTTATTTTTATTTTTATTTTTATTTTTTGCTTAGGATTGCTCTGGCTATTCCTTTGGTTGCCTATGAATTTTAGGATGCTTCTTTCTAATTCTGTGAAAAATGATGTTGGTATTTGATAGGAATTGCATTGAGTCTGGAGATTGCTTTGGGCAGTATGGTCATTTTCACAATATTGATTCTTTCTTCTCATGAGTATGGGATGTATTTCCCTTTGTTTGTGTCATCTATGATTTTTTTTTTAACAGTGTTTTGTAGTTCTCCTTGTAGAGATCTTTCAATTCCTTGGTTAAGTATATTCCTAGGTATTTTATTTTATGCAGCTGTTTTAGAAGGGATTGAGTTCTTCATTTGATTCTCAACTTGGTCATTATTGGTGTATAACAGTGTTACTCACTTATGTATGTTGATTTTGTAACCTGAGACTTACTGAATTCGTGTATCAGATCTAGAAGTCTTTTGGGGAGTCTTTAGGGTTTTCTAGGTATAAGATCATATTGTCCACAAACAGAGATAGTTTTACTTCCTATTTTTCAGTTTGGATGCTCTTTCTTTCTTTCTCTTGCCTGATTGCTCCAACTAAGACTTCCTGTAGACTAGAATTTTGAGGCTTCCAATTGGCTGCCTGATCCACTGTCCAATTGGTAATCAGGACACCGTAACTGGTGGTAAGTGAGGTACAGGTAGGCTCTGGCATGCTGTATCCATGCAACTGTTAGAACTTTTTATAGGCAGTGAATTAGATAAGATGTCAGTGGAAGGGAATGTACTGACTGGTACAAAATCTTAGGTGCTTGAGAGGTACAGGAAAAGTACTACTTATAAGGACTGTGGAAACTAGTTGATAGGTGATGGGTATTATCAATATACCCAAGAAAGACAATGAAAAACAGAGGGATAATTAATCACCAACTGAAGGCAAAGTGTGAAAGTTAGAGGGTCTCCTTGGCCATATATCGTTTCTCATTTCCTACAGCTGGAAGGCAGACAATGCTGGGGACCAGGACCAGGACTTAGTTTTAAGGATGGAAAAGGTCCCTGAGAAGCTTAACTTCTCAACCCCAGCAAGTCTCCTACATCAAGATTGATTGAGGAGTGGGATCTTGGAACTTGAAATGGGGACACCTGGGCCATTGCTCTCAAGAACATTAAAAACAGATCAGCCTGAACCATGTAGGCCTGCAGGAGGCCACTCCTCCCCACTAATGGCCAGTGCACCCTCACCCCTCACTGTAGATGATGCTGGCCCTCAGCTTGCCAGATCACACAAACCCTGCCCAGGATCTACCCTCACCTTCCCTCCTGGCCACCAGACCAATAACTAGGATCAAGTCACAATATAACCCAACTGAGGAAGTGCTGTGCTGATAAGAAAGGAAAGCCTATATGCTAAGGATCTTAGCAACCTAGACAAAATGTACATGCAGAAGCCAGGACGGTATTATAGGATTGGATCCTAAAGATTCTGGATAAAGAAGGGTGGGATATAAAGTTATATAAAGGAGAATGTATCAGTATGGAAACACTCACCTGGGACAAAGGATTTAATTTCTGACAAAGACCTCAGGACACAGTGCTAGTGAGCTGTAGGAATCTGGGAAAAATCAATTGCCCACATTAAATGAGAAGTCCATGATAGTTGGTGGAGGATAGGTTCAAAAAGCACAGAGAAAGGGGTATGTCATGGCAGACATACTCCGAAGGTCCAGAAATAAGTACCAGTAGACAATGTGTTATGGGATGGCTTGGAGGGTGGTTTGTTTGCCACAGTGATTAGGTATGTGCTGGTGAGAGGGAAGGAAGGCCAGCATTGCTGAGACTCTCAGGGATGGCTGTCTTCTGTAGGCCATGGCTCATGGTAGGAAATTTATTACAAAACTGGTAATGGTAGAATGGGACTGATAATATCCTGAAAGTACAGAGGCTAGGTGGTAGCACTCAGCTGTCAAAAGCAAGGTGAACACAGTTCTTATAACAGTTATGTTAGAGTAGCAACCA